TAAGAGTTAGTACAGCTTTGATCTATAATATAAGATACTGTGCAAAATTTTATTTTATTTAAGGGCTAATACAGTTTTGATTTATAATATAAGATACTGTGCAAAATTTTATTTTATTTAAGAGTTAATACAGCTTTGATCTATAATATAAGATACTGTGCAAAATTTTATTTTATTTAAGAGTTAGTACAGTTTTGATCTATAATATAAGATACTGTGCAAAATTTTATTTTATTTAAGAGTTAATACAGTCTTGATCTATAATATAATTTAACAGTGAGCACACTAAATGTTAATATATTTAACTAGAGTGTAGATTGTGTTATAATGTCACTAAATGCGACTAATGTTTATTAGATTTGAAAAAAGATTACTTACATTACTTACCCCTAATATTCTGTATTTTGTATTAAACGTATTTTCTCCGAAATTTAATTATTTACCGCAAGAGAAAATCGAAAAATGCAAAAATCGACTTCCCTCGACTTTTACTATTATACCTCGAGTAAAAATTTAACTTCCCAATTTTTTTTCTTTCATGGATATCATGCTGTTTGGAAGTTCGTTCAGATCTCGAAATTAATGGTCCCCGCGTTCACAAAGTTCACTTTTTGAGTAAGAATTACGTGAGAATCATGGGAGAATTATTGCCGAAACAAGATTGAAAGTCACTGGTATAACAGTTTCAATTCTCTCTCAATGTCTTTGTTTCGCCACGTTTGTTTTGCCGAACCGCGGGCTTCGGATCAAGAAACATGTCCGGAGAATTTCTTAAATCTGTGGAACGATGGCCGGTAGGAAAATTACAAACGCCATTATGAAAATCCGCTGGAATTATCGACGATAGCGGCGGTAGCTGCCTCGTTGCGTTAATATCATGTCTCGATCCCGGCGGCGCGCCTAATTAAATTTAATTTTCGGCTTGAGGCGTATGCAGGTAGGTTTCTTTAATTGGCCCGATAGGATTGAACGAGTTTAACCGGCCCTTTCCCTCCCCGAATCCTAATATTTACGATTATCGTTCGTTGAAAATGAAATTTTCACCAGGCGGCGCGGCGTTCTTGGTTAAGAAGCGGGGTTAATTAGTGCTGAGAAGGGAAACTGTAAGCCGTTGATGATTCAGCGGGTAACTTTGTTCGATAGTCTGACGCCAGCAATATGAGCCATTTCGGGCTTAACTAATTCCAAGACCTCATGTTACGTGGAGTTGCTGTAACGTTAAAGACTTTACATCGACCTTACACGGCCGACTAGTGCCCCTGAAACGCTTCTAATTGGCACATTAATTCGAGCACCTGAAGCTAATTTGTCGAACGATTATTGCGCCGATCCAGCTGCCAGCCAGTTTGAAAATTTTACGCCCGATGTTTAACACTAGAACTACCGAGAACAAGAGCTCGAAATTTTCATTATTGTGACGTCAAAGTGAAAAGAAAAAAAAAAAAAAAAAGAATGGAAAAACTGTAAGATACAATAGAATACATTTTATTTCTGTATTTTATAAAAAAACTTTAAGTCACTGATTGAAATCTCTAAAAATACGCTGCTTTACATTTACAATATATGTAACGAAAATTATGAATTAGTCACTCTGACCATTTTGGTAAGTTCGTAAGTAACAAGTATAAATAAATTGTCAATAATACGAATGAACGATTAATTTCTGATCAACGGTCCACTTTTATGACTTTAAATGTCGATACCTTCCTTTCCTCTTTCTCCCTTTCTCCACAAATTTTTTAATTACACGGATACACTGGGCACGATGAAACTCGCCGACAGAGAAAAGAGCGAACAATTCGATTAGAATCACAAAGAAAATTCAATTTAATTTGCAGTCATCTACAATACTACTCTGCTATCGTTAATTAAACCAGATCCTTGACCGTCGGAATAAAAAATCGGCGAATTGAGACGAAGCAAATTCCCAAGAACGGGTGACATCCTACTTTTAGGAAATTAAAGTACAGTTTGTACCAACGAATAATTTACTCTCGTGTTAGTCGCGTTTCTTCCAAGCTCAGTCCACCACACAGGCCGCGTATTTTTCGCCTAAGTCTGAACTTATTATTATTAGTTAGGTGAGTTTGACACTCCCATTGATCAATTTCGTTTTGCCAACGAAACGATTCCATCAGCTGTGGCATTGATCCCGAAAATAACGGGGAGATCGCATCTCCACGCAATGCATTTCGTACCACTAGTTTCCATCTTTATATTCTTTCTTTCTTTCTTTCTTTCTTTTTTTTTTTTTTCGCTGCAAGCACGGCGTGCCATCTCTCTTTCAATGAAAGCTCGTTCCCTTTTGAAATTCCTAGGCATGCGCACCGCCGCCGTTTCTTTGATCCCCGCTTCAGCGAGCATTACTACTCGTCTACTTCGTTGCACCGAAAATTAACGATATGCGCACATTTCTTTGAGCTGGTAATATTAACGTGGCCCGCGTTCCGCGGAAACGCGTCGTTACCTTAAACTATTCCCATTGTTACGTACTTTCCGGGAGTCAGAGCCTCCCTCTTCCACCTTCTCTCGGCCGAGCTCGACCGCTGTTAATGAACAAAAAGGATTTTCTCCCGAAATTGTGACTCTCACGAGCCAAGAAATTACGCACTCCACTCGCACAAGGCGGACGTGTGTGATTTCCTGTTTCATTTACATCAAATTGTTTCCCTTTTTTCTTCTTTTTTTTTTTTGTTTGGGTTAGGTTTTTGTTAGGTTAGGTTACAGTACACGTTACGGGTATTTTTACAGTACACTTTTTCTTCTTCTTCTTTTTTTTTGAAAATAATTAAAACTAGGAAACTAGATATTTAATTTGTCACAATATGATAAAATGTCTAGAATGTCTCGAACAATCGTGACAATTTAAACGACAATTAAAATAAATAGATTTACGCAATTATGTTTCTTCATCCAAACCGATATTAATATTAATTTCTGAACAATGACGTTCGTAGCTTTTAAGCACTCGTAGAAAACTCCATCATATATCGTTCCGTTGTTAAAATAATACAATTGTACAATTATTTATAAAATTATTCTCTAACAATGTCGTTCCAATGAATAATGCTCGCTTCTCAGGCAACTGTTATTTCAAATATCCCGCCAGATATGAGTGTCAAGAAAAATTTGCGACACTCGCTGTTTCTTCCTTTCATTCTTCGTTCAACGCTTCGTAGTCTGTGCTGCCCCGTTTGATATTTCGATACGACGATGCATTTCACGTTCACGCGTGTGTTAAGGAGGATTATTCATAACTGTTTTATGAATTTTCATAAGCCTCTTTAAGTTACCTTCTCGAGTATATAAGTCTGCATGAAATTTAAATAAAACTATATAAATTTCCAAGGGCTCTTAAAATCACGAGAGTCAAAGTCTGACTGGAGAAAGTGTAATTAAGACAAAAAACTCGAGTATGCATAATAATTATGACATACAAATACAATAAACATCAAAGATAATAAAAATAGTGAATAAATATAGTAAAATACAATAATATAATACATAATTATGATACACAAATATAATAAATAACAAAGATAATAAAAATAATAAATAAATAAG